TAGCAAGCCTTATGCCTCAACAATGACTATCCAAATTACACATAACTTTAGAACAGTTTCGCGTCGTAATGGAAAGTCAACCAAATTATAGAAATGGTTAATCCTTAAAGACTTTGTCTTAAACTGCACAACATTAATCCACTTTCTAAAAACAGGAGACTAGAGCCTTTGGCATTATCATAGGCTATTTATTATCTTGCGGAGCAATCATGAATGTTTCCCTCTCAATCACCCAGTGATGACGTGGAAAATTTTCACATTCGCTACCATGCAACTAAGAATGTAGAGTATTCTTCTCTAATGGAGTAATCCATTAGTAGGCACATCGCTCCCACTGTCCCTAGGATATTGGAAATTTCTTTCCTTTCCATTCTCAATTAGGCTACATAGAGTGCTATGCTTAGAATTCTCTATCTTATAGAGTTCCAAAAACTCTATTCACGTCACCTTTACTAATAAAACTTTATGTGACTTAGTTACACTACCGCAAAGCTGCTTACCTATATGCACATGACCCAGATGGTTTACATGACCGCATACAATAATGCGCCACACGACCCTACGTGTTTACAAGACAGCATACAATAATGCACTATTGAACCCTAGGTCTTAACTTCGCAACCTTATGAGAAGTAAAATAAAGATAAGCTGCTTGATAGTTACAGATCGCCCATAGATGGCTTTCCGCTAACCCATTACTCAAATGGAGTGTAAAAACTTATATGAAGGGCATGTAGTTAGGGATATAGACAACAAACTAAAGTGCAATTCCCAATTGGGAAACATTTTGCGCCATCATCCACCTAACATTAACAATACTTAATTCCTTATCTCTACTACACCACTGTGTTGTTGAGTATTAAGAATAATCAATTTTCTAAGCATCCATTTCTCTTCATAGAGTTTTCTAAAATAACTCAAATAGATACTCGCCACCTTGGTCAAAACTAAAAACACGAAAGCTGTTATCTAATTGATCTCAACCTCATATGTGCAATGTCAAAAATCATCTCAGAACTTTTGACTTATGGGAAATCAAATAGTCTTGACTCAGATGCGTATCGTAATCTATAAATGTGTCGAGATTGAGGCTTAGCTATCATACCTTTACACATATCTAGTCACAAATATCATAGTGTGGACTAAATGCGCCAATACAAATGACTTTCTACGGCTTTCCTACTTACTTGTGCGCAACCATTGCGAACAAAGTTACACATTCATATGAGAGCAGGATGTCATAAGTGAGTGGGCCCAAGAGGGCCTACTCCAAACATCCATACATCTTCTCATTAATATGATTAAGTATAATAAGCCACCGGTTCATGACCAATGTCATAAACTAATTCCAATCATCCTAATGTGTGAGTTTTTGAAGACAAGTTTTAAAGGTTTAGGCCCAACTAGGTAATGACTCACGACTAATTCATATTCACTAGATCATAAAAAGGATGTCATGGAGATAACAAGTGCGTCTAAGTCGAAAATTTAACTAGTAAGTGCTAATCCCCTGCACCTTCAAGTCAATTTTATTCTCCATACACTTTAATACATCTAGTTGAAAGATGACGATACTCCTCTTGCCATATTTATTTCTTGCTTCATAGTTACTTGCAATTAATTCTACTATCCATAAGAAGGAGAGAATAAGCTATCACCTATGACAGCTCCTGAAGTAACTTAAGTGCGAATTAGGCTAAAGAGTCTAATTCAACACAATGCTCTCACGAGCCATGCGTCAAATTCTTAGAGTCATAACAACCTTGTTGGCCTTGACCTTTTCATTATTATGCTGCAACGTTTGCACTTAGTGGTAAACGTTATTCAAAAACGTTAGCCTAGCTAAGGAATCATACAAAGAAGACCCTCCTCATGTCTCACACTCAAGTATGGAAACAGTAAGTGTCCAGACTTGGCAATGCTAATAGATTTTGCAGCCACTAAGCGCTAATCTTTTCACTTAGGGTTAATAGATTTTGCAGCTTCTAAGTGCTAACCTTTTCACATAGTGTTAATAGATTTTGCAGCTTCTAAGCGCTAATCTTTTCACTTAGTGTTAATAGATTTTGCAGCTTCTAAGCGCTAATCTTTTAACTTCACGTGATATTTCAACGCACACTATTATAGTGCATGAAATTTTTGTTCCATCCACTCCTAATAATTGGGTAGAGAGCAAAACACTGCTCATACTGGCTACTCGTCTTACACTTAAGCTCGCATTTCTTGGATGACGTAACTCTTGAATGTTACTTCATCCAATGATGTAACATTATTTACAAGTCAAATTACAAAGTCAATCCGCGCAGCTCAATAGTCAAGATCATATACAGATCTATTGAGGGCTTACTAATTTCGTAACTCCAAAACTCGCTAACCAAAACTACGTAGCGTGCTGCTAACCATAGCGCACACATTAGTTTTTATTATGCCAAACAAGGCAACAAAACCACAGCGACTTTGAGTCATGTTTCCTTACTTTGGCTCAATTAAGGTTTGACCTAAAGTCTCCAAGACTTTTGCTCATCTAAAGAGTGGGATTATATTGTTCACATTTGAACATCTTTACTAAGTCTAGGTCAACCAATTAACTTCCATAAGTTAAGTCAATTTAGAGAAAAATTCGCATTGGGATTAATTTGATTAGCATAATATAATTTTGCCACAAAAATCTAAATTAAATAGTGACAATATTACACAAGTCGCAAGATCGAAAATCCGCTATGCTCGTAATCATCTCTTGCGCCACAGGTGACAATTATCCAAAATTTAATTTAATTTATGTGCAAAATATTGGTTTTCGGGAGTTAATCTACAAAGATTTCTCTCAACCAAATAACCTCCACTGACTATGGCATGTCTAAAAGCATGATAAAAAATTCTAATTTCATACAATAGCATCATAATGTAGATTCACAACCAACTCATGCTATGTCACAATTAATAATGGAATTTAAAAAAATAACAATTAATCATGCTATTCTAATTACAACATATTAGAAACTCTAAAAAAAATAATATGTTGTATTAAATATTCAAATTATGCCATAACAGAATGTACATCATTCTGAAATTTTCTGAAATTTTAAATAACACACACCAAATTAGAAATAAATATTCCAGAATCTGGTAAAATGCAAAAAACCATACTAGTAAATATTAAACCATTACAGTGGTCTAAAATAAAAAATTCAACCCCAAAAACTTAATCATGCAACAGCAGATGCATTTTAAAGCAGAAATAATGAATTATTATTTTAGGAAAAATATTTTTTTTTTCATAAAATTTTCAAAAGTTTACAGAAGATAAAAAATTTAATTCTGAGTCTAACGGTACCAACCACGCTTAAAACAAAGCTATAACGAATTACTTATGACCATTTAACGTAATTCTGAATTTTAAAGAAAACAAACAAACCCTTAACCACAGCAGCCAAGCCAGCGGAGAAAAACGGCGCGGCTTAGCGCGCGGCTCATCTGCGGCTCAACGCGAGGCCGAGCAGGCGGCTCAGCGAGCGGCTCAGAGAATGGCCCAGCGAGCAGCTCAGCGCACGGCGCGCGTGCGTGGCATGGACGGCACGCGAGTGGACAGCGTGGCTGACGTGCGTGTAAGCGCGTGTATTGTGTGCTTGGCGCGTGGCAGCGCGTGGAAGTGCATGCCCGCCGCTGACGGCGTCATCTTGCGCGTGAGGCACACGCGCCGCCTTCCAGGGTGTTTTCTGGTCCGATTTCAGTACTCCCGAACTCCATTTTTCACAACAAAAACATTTATGACACCAAAAATCACATTTAATGAACATAAAAATGAGGTGTACCACACTCTCAATCTAATGGGAGTTGAAATTTTCCTCCTTTATAAACATTCATGAATATAATGTGTACATATATATATAAAAATTTACACATAATTAAAGAAAACACGAAAATACCCATTCATACTCTGATACCAATGTAAAACAAAGTATAAACGCAGCGGATGAAAAATTATGGTCATACCTTTTTCTGCAGAGTCTGAATTGAAGGATCTCATGGGTAAATCACGTGCTTCCTGAATCTGATCAATCAACCCAGCAATGGAGTGATATTACAAAATGAATATCACCTACACAAGTCACAATGCAAAATGGCTCTTGATCGTTGTATTTTGGGAGAGAGTCAGTATATTTGGGAAAAACATACGACATACGTTATTTTTCTCTTAATCACCCATATCTCATAGCATATCAGATATATAGGATAATATCTCATCCATATCAGTTGATATGATAGATATGGATATCCTGAGTGGTTATCCAAGTAAGTTTTGAATTCAAATTCAAACTTACATGGATAAGGTTCAAAAGGTTCAAAGGGTTATGCCACATGGGCGCCCAATTTCTAACATTCATTTGGCATTCATTCATCCAAAGGGATACTTATGCTGTGTTTGATTCATGGATTTGGTTAGGGATTTGGAAAGGAAAAGGGAAAAGAAAAATTTCCCTTTCCAAATCCATGTACCAAACACAGTCTAACAGATTAACTCAAATTTGAATAAAATTGCTATGTGTCAAGTTTGAGTGTAAGCTGTAGTTCATATGCACTTTGTTACACATTTTTCTATGTTCAAAAATGCATAGCTTCATTTTTGAACCAGAAGATTTCGTAATATTTGCCAAAAATGCGTAACATGTACCAGAAAAATGTGTAATGCATATGGTATACACACCCTATAAGGGGTTGTACCGAAGGGGTTCCCTTCAGTCAAACCAACAATATGAACCATTCTATTAAATCTACTTTATGACTTTTTTATTTGTTTTTTCAATTTAGAATATCCTTGGATATTGAGATGTTAGAGGTTATTTCTTACTTATGTCCCTGTAATCAAGAAAACTGACTTTATCATATGGCAATTTTCTTTGATATATGAATATTAATGGGAAGGAGCAAATTTTCTTTGTGCATAAAATATAGGAAATCTAGCTTTCTCTTGTTCATCCTAAGCCATCTGCTCCTGTCAGGCTTGTGGCAGAAAGGAGCCTGTAAGGTACCTGCTGTGGATCAGGCTAAGTCGGGCACTCAGAGTGACAGAATTTTTTGGGAAGATGGAGAAAGATATCCGTATCAATTATCTGTTTGTAAGGATCATGAAACTTTTTGTTGTTGAACTCTATTGCACGCACACAGCTGCCTGCATCTTTTACTATCTGGCTACTACTATGCCTCCATCTAAGGAACGTTACACATGGATAGGAAGTTTACAGATGGGTGACTATAGTTATTCACACTTCAGAGAGATTGATCTTTGGACACGTTATGTAACATCACTATATTTTGCCATTGTTACAATGGCTACTGTTGGTAAGCTTCTTTGTATCTCTGATATTTGCTAAATCTGTCGAGTTTCATCGTTTGATATTTTAAACTTCATTATATGTTTTCTTTAGTATTAAAGTGCCGTATCTATTTTAGCTAGAATGCTGTCCTACCCAAAAAGTTTTCTATGTAATAACTGGGAAATTGTAAAAAAAAAAGATATTCATTGGCTAAGGCTATTGCCAAAGCTTCTTTTCACTTTTTTAAGTAGTGTGCAACTAAACCTGTCTTCTAACTAGTTGTTAACTGCTATTGCTTTGGCATTTTTTTTTTCTCCTTCTTTCTTTCCCGTGACTTTGTGAATAAAGAAGGTCCTGAAATTCTTCTATCATGTCTTTTAGATTAGATGCCAATACGGTTTGATCAAGATTATTGTATTTGTTGTCTTCCTAAGAGGTAATGAGTTTATTTAATGCTATTTGTCACAATATCGTGCAAACTATAACTACCCAATGAATGCCTAATCTTAAATCTCAATGCTATTGTGTCGTTGCCTCTTTTCCATATACTACTGGTGATTGACAATGGGAGCATTGAGAATGGATGCTCCAATGCATGTCGAAGGCTTCTTAAAATAGGAGGTGATGGCTGTTGATTAGACAAGCTTTAGTGGTGGTATTGCATTGTCCAGTTAGCAGTGGTCTGAAATTCCAAACCAGGATTGCTTTAATGAAGATGTGGCCCTGGGTAGGATTAATTATCCAGTACCATCATTTAGATGACCTCAGATGGTTAGGAAACTGCTATAATAGCAATGATATAGGGACTATATTTTTTTTAATCCTTCCCCACTATCACCCCACTCTCCTGCACAGTGTATAGTAAAGTGCAAGTTGATAGTTCTGTTAAATATCTGTAAGCTACGCATCATGTAGACGGAGGGTTGGAATATATGCTGCACCCATCTTTGTTATTTAGAATCTATTTGATTATATACAATGATCATATCCAGTAGAAATGCTACACTTATTATTTCTCTCTCTTTTTTTTTTCTTTACCACATTTTGTTTATCACCTGTGATGGCACATCCACAATTGTTGGTGCAATGAATCCCACAAGAGTCTCACTAACATCCAACCGTTGTGAATGTGCCGCATCAGGTGGTAAACAAAATGCGGAAAAAGAAGATGGCAAATGCAGCATTACTGCGAGTTTAGGGGTGCCCACATTTAAGTGCCTAATGTAATCGTTATCTATGAGTAGGCATCTTGGTGTCACATTCTATTAAATGTAGTTCTGGTAAAGTGGTCATTGTTTTGAAACATATAACACATTCTTGTGTGTGCCCTAAGAATAAATGTCTGTGTGACACACAATGAACGTAGGTGTTTCCTACTTAGTTTCAATATAATATAAAAACAGGAATTTTGCTTGGGATTCTTTGAACTGACTATGTACACCCAAGAATATGTCCTCCTTTCTTAAGCATGCCTAATAAATATATATTGGATGGACATTTTGTAAACATCCATGCCCATATGTGTCTTGTCCAACATGGGTACCTTTGTTTATTTCCAAGATGTGTATCTTGCATTGTATTAATGTGTTACAAGCAGTGGTTTTTTATTTTTATATATAATGATGTAGTGCTACTGCACTTCTAAGAATAGGTATTGTTAATTATGTGCAATGTTTTTTTCCTCTTTTTTCTTTAATGCTACAGGTTACGGAGAGATACATGCAGTCAATGTCAGGGAAATGATATTCATAATGATCTATGTCTCTTTCGATATGATTATCGGCGCCTATCTACTTGGTAACATGGCAGCATTGATTGTGAAAGGATCAAAAACAGAAAGGTTTAGGGACAAAATGGCAGATCTTATTAAATATATGAATACACACAAACTTGGAAAGCGTTTAAGTAATGAGATCAAAGACCATGTGAGGCTACAGTATGAGAACAGATACACAGAAGCTGCTCTTGTTCAGGATATTCCAATCTCCATTCGAGCTAAGGTACTGCAAAATGATAAAAATCTTAACATGCCTCATTTATATTAAGTTCAATAGCCCATGTTGACACCTAAAAATAAAAATAAAAACTTAAAAAACAGTATATGCTGAGTTAGTGCTTTAAAATAGTTGACCAGTCTCTTGCATTTTGTTGGAAATGTGTTACTATAGTTTGCTTCCTCACCCAAAAGAGAATTGTACATTGTAGATTGTTTTGCCCCATGAACTGTTCTTCTACGCAGATTTCACAAAAGTTATATGAGCCATATGTTAAAGCGGTTCCACTTTTCAATGGGTGCTCTTTGGGATTCATCAAACATATTGTAAGTCTTCTTGTTACTAGAGTAAACAGATGTTAAGATTATACCTGCATTGATTTTACAAAGTCATGTGACATTTATTGGCTTAATTATCTGTGCAAGGTAAATATTTACTGCTAGGGAGGTTAATGAATCTAGCAACTCCTGATCCTTTACAACTTCCAACTTTTTTAAGAGCATCAGCTTACTAATGTCTAGCTATCTTCAGTGCATCTTCTATAGGATTTTTGGAGTAACCTGAATATTGTCTATTGCATTTCCATGCTTGTTCTGTTTTTCTGTATTATCTATATTTATTTAAAAATTACTGGTTTCTTGGTATTCCTTTTAAAAATGCCTCCTCCAAAGTGCCTTTTTTTTTTTTTTTTTTTTTTTTTTTTCTTTTTTTTTTTTTTTGTTAATTTGTTCTTTTGTTGTCTACTATCATAATTTAATGTCATGTTCATTTCAACTGGAACATTACAGATCTGATAAGATTTGGAGCCTAATATCATATCAATTTTTTGTAGTCAGCCTTACTTTTTTTTTTCTGATTTTCAGTCAACCAAAGTCCATGAGGAATTTTTCCTCCCAGGAGAAGTGATTATAGAGCAGGGAGATATAGTGGATCAACTGTATCTTGTTTGTTTTGGTGAACTGGTATAATTTTTTCTCACTCTCATCATTGCTATGTTATTTGTTTCATCTTATTACATAACAGCAATATCATCAGAGAGGATGCTAGTAGTTCATGGCTTCTTACTACTTTGTAGGATTATGATAGAGAGCCCAAAAGTGGAGGAAACTGGTATGGCCCTACTAATGATATTTTCTTGAAACTTAGGTTAACCTGTTCAGAGATATTAACCCATGAGCACCTTACACAAAATATGGTAAGAAATATTCCTACTTGAAGGTAGGCCAACACTTGTTGGTGGGCAGGGACCTGCCCTCTTGGTTATGCGGTTTATTCATGTGACTAAAAGGTAGAATTAACATAACTAAATGACAATCTACATCATTTATCAGTACTAAAAAGGTTTATCATGGTTATTATTGCTTGACAAAATAAATAAATAAATAAATCAGTGTAATTATAGTATGATGAGAATCAACCTTCTGCTTTTGCTACTGAGAAAGCAAACGGTCAGCGTGAAGGTTCAAGACTTAGCCAAGCATTAGCAAAGCAGAACAAAGCACCTGTAGCAAAGATGACAAGGCAAGACATTGGTGAAGCTAGATTTTCACGGTGGGGTGCTGAGTTAGCAAAGTGGGCTAAAACAGTACCCTTCCCCAAGGCTTGGCTTTCACACACAATCATAACTGTTTCAATAACTTTTTACAAAAAAAGTGGAGAGAAGGATAACTACCTCCTACCTCTCCCAGACCCTACTGTAAGCGGGAGTCCTTTTGCACTGAGTACAATCTTTCATTCTATTTTTCAAAAAGAATTGTAGATATATATGTAGAATGATACCTGTAATCTTAAGAGCTTTAGTGTCCATAGTACACTTTATAGTAGAAATTATCTATGTTTAATGCAGTTTACATTTAAATGCAAGATTGACAATTTTATAGTAATTTCAGGAGGCAATAGAAAGAAGTGAAGACGAAGAAACAAGAGAATCTCCTCTGCATCTGCAAACTTACAAAACTCACAGTTCGTTTGGTGAAATTTCTATGCTTTGCAACATTCCAGCTCCTTATGCCGTTCGAGTTTGTGAACTATCTAGGCTATTACGACTTGACAAAAAATCTCTCACTGACGTCCTTGAGATATACTTCTTTGATGGGCGTATTATTCTAAATAATGTGCTTGAGGTAGGCTATCTTTTGTATTACTGCTATTACTTTTCGCCAACCTGTGACGATTTTATTTCTTCCCTCCTGTTTGTAGTTTTCTTGTTGTGGATGAACTCATGTACTATTTATGATAAACAAAATATATGTGAATCAATGTTATCGCATGAATTAGTTAATTTTATTTGTAACATTTTTACAATTGCTAGGGAAAAGAGTCCAATCTTCAGAACAAGCTATTGGAGTCTGACATAACACTTCATATTGGAAAGCATGAAAGTGAGCTAGCTATGAGGTTAAATTGTGCTGCTTATGATGGAGATCTGCATCGGCTAAAACGCTTGATTGGAGCTGGGGCAGATCCCAATAGGACTGATTATGATGGAAGATCACCTCTGGTAATGCTAAACACAAAAATATTCTATTTTCGTATAATACAGATCTTATGCAATAATATAAATTCTTTTTAGTAATTATCATTTCTTCAATATGATATAATTTCTGCCATTCATCCTCATAAAAATCCAGCAGAAGATCTTAAAAAGGAGAGTGATTTTTCTAAGTTAGAACAGCATCCGGCTATACATTTAATTAAAGAGCCATGATGGAAGACAGAAAACAATTTTGTTGCTCTGAATTCACTCTCATTGCAGCAATTTACTTATAGGAAAAATGAGCTCCAACCAAAAGAATGAAAAGAATTGTTTGGCTTACCTTTGAATGAGGCAAGGCCATGTATATATAATGATTCAATATTACAAACTAGGAAATAAAATAATCAAGGCACTAAATCCGTGATTTGTATAATCACGGATTATATACAAACTACCATAAATACAATATTACGATTCCCTAATTCCAATAGTTTCTTCATGACAATGTAATAATTATAGTGATTAAAGAAGCATGGACACTTGTAAGAAGGTGGCGTGTCCTTGTTTTGTTGGACATGTGTCAAACACCGATAATCATCGGACAACAGGGGTCAAGCACATGTCCTATTATTATATTGTTTTTAATATTTTTTGACCCAATTTCATTCTGGACACTTACGAGACACGTGTCCATTGATTAGATATACATAAAACATATTATAAGTTTGAATAAAATAGCTTAGAGGATACATTGATAAAAGAAAAACATGTAAATTTATATTGGTTTCTCTTTTAAACTTTAGGAATTAGTGTTATGTTGCATTTTTTTTTTTGGATATTTATGAATAATATATATATATATATATAACATAGAATAAATATGTAAAGTCACATATTTTGCATGTTGCGCTACACAGCATGTCTTCATTTTTTGAAAATTGTCGTGTCAACGTATCGCATGTCCATGCTTCTTATAGTTGCTTACCTTACATTATTTGCAGCATGTTGCTGCATCCAAGGGATATGAAGAGATTACTGAGTTCCTTATCCAAAAAGGAGTAGTGATCAACATTACAGGTATGCTTCTTACATTTCCCATTGCCATGCACTACCTCATGAGTTCTGGAATATATGTATATACATTGTTGAGTAATTAATGTTAGAGATGAATTTATTAACTCATATTGATTAATCCATTCTAATAGATAATTTTGGAAACACTCCATTGCTTGAAGCCATCAAGAACGGACATGATCACATCGCTTCTTTACTTGTCAAAGCCGGGGCATCATTAACTATAGAGAATGCTGGAAGTTGTCTCTGTTTAGCTGTTGCAAGAAGAGATTTAGAATTTTTAAGAAGGGTTTTGGCTAATGGCATCAATCCCAACTCTAGAAGTTATGATCTTCGAACACCTCTTCATATAGCTGCTGCGGAAGGGTTATATACAATGGCATGTTTACTTTTAGAAGCTGGTGCTAGTGTCTTCTCAAAGGATAGGTGCAGTGTAAATTTCCATATAATTTTTCTAATGGTGATGAAATATAATGCATTGATTCTTTTAGAACTTTTTATGTTTGCATGAAGACTGTAAATACAAAATGCAAATTCACACATGCACACGCATCTATATTTGTGATATATTTTGCATGACGTTTTACATTCTGTAGTTCTTGTAATGCTTCAAGCATATGATCTTGGAGGGGTTTTAAGAAGATAATGTACTTAATTTTCTCTCACATTTCAGCTGCCCCAAAAACTTGCATCTTCATTTACAGTTAGTTCTATTAATTTCTAACAATTTATTGTTACCTGAAAATGACTTGGCAATGCCTCATGAAAGTGAGTGCGCTTGTGCATCCTCTGTCCATTAACATTTTGTTTTTGTACTTTCAGCTAACTTTGAGTATCTCTTTTTGTGAAGATGTCTGCCTTTCTCGTGGCTCATTGAAATTATTGAAACTAGGACTTTGAAATTTAGTTGCAATATCTACAGAAAAGCCATAACTCGTAGGGTCAAAGTTGATTTTGAAGTCGAATATCTTCTTTACTTTTTGTACTTTTTTTTCGTTTGCCCCTTCTTTATTTTTATTTTTCTTCCTAAAATCAGGAATTAAATGGTTCATGCCTCAAAGTTGGTGTAAGTATTCAACTTCTGCATTAACTAAAATTTACACTTTCTGTATCAAAAGTGTTTAGATTTTCTCAAAACATTCTTAAACTTTTGATACATAACTCTGCTTATAAGATGAGCGTGGTTTACATGGTTGAAAATTTGTATGAGCACATGCAACGAGAGAGGAGATGAGTTTGCAGGTTCAACACATGCAATGGCTAAGTAATTAAAGCACACCTGCAGATTGAATGTGCACAATTTTTTGCCTGTAAATGTAATTGACTGCTTGCTGCATTGTTCAGAAAATTGACATTTGTTTAACTATGTGTTTGCAGATGGGGAAATACTCCACTCGATGAAGCACGTATCGGTGGAGACAAGAATCTTGTGAAACTTTTGGAAGAAGCAAAGAGCGGTCAGTTAGCCGAGTTTTCTGATTGCTTCAAAGAAATTCAAGATGCAACTAAAACCAAATAATAGATTAATAGGCTAATGTACTCCAGTTTCAGAAATTGGATATGTTTTGCAGTGGCATTTTTAACATTTGCTTAAGAAGATAGAGCTCTGTTGAGTCAGAAGGATTTGAGAATAACCACTATAATGCTAAATGGCTTTCCCTTCAAGGGGAAAAGGAAATTAATAAAATTTACTTTGTTTGGTGAAGTTTATGGGATTGATAATTATTATTATTTTTTATTTTCAGAATTTATATTGAGTGCTTAGTGTAACTTCTGATTATAGTTTACAGTTAAGTGATAGATGCTTTTAGTTTTTATTTTCTAATTATCAACTTTCAACTGAGAAAAAAATGCAGAATCACTAATATACATATTGAAAACCACTTGAATTCTAGAACATAGATCGGCGGCAATGGCTGTAGATCCCAGCCTCTTGGGAGCGAATAAGTTAGTTAAAGTGTACTCTAATCATTTTTATCATTGTTATATCAAATCAATAAAGATGTAATTTTTTTTTTACCAAATCAATCATGAATCAAATAATTTATCAAAATTTTGATAGTTATAGTTTTACTTAATATTTTTTTTTAATAATATATATATATATATATATATAGAAGAATTGGAGATAGTTTTATTTCATAAAAAATAATTAAAGAAAGTTTTGAGGACAAATATGAAATTACCAAAAAGATTTGATGAAAAAAAGGGGTAAGGATTGAAGAATCAGATCAAGTTTTTAAATTTTTATTCAAAATTAATTAATAATAATAATAAGTATTGAAGATGCTCTAATGTGATATGTTAAACAGTCTTGCTAACAAAATGTTCAAGAGTTTCTATTTTTACGCACCAAAAAATTTAAGTACACATATGTTCTGTCAATACACACTAAATAAATTTAAAATTTAGATCTTGTTTAGCATAATTTATGATGGTACAAAAAGTCAAAAAATCATTAAAAAAATTAAAAAATTCTTCCTTTCGTCTTCTGATGCAGAGCCATCTACTCTCTTCCCATCCTCCGAAATTCAACAGGCTAACAGTGTAGCTCAGTGTTGTAGATTACTTTGCATCTACATTTCCCCAAATGTAATGACAGGGCATAATGTAAGTCACGATTTCCCATTAAAAAAAAAAATTGAAATGCAAGGAATGAAAAAGAGTGCTGTTGCATGTGTCCAATAGAGTAAAACGGTAATTTTGATATTTGTTACAATATTTTATTACACATTTTTTTGTAAAAAACTAAACAGTTATCCTAAACATATATTTTTTTTCAATTTTTTTAATCAAAAAATCAAAAAATACACTTATATAACACATCCTAAACAATCCCTTAATGTTTTAAATTAATACACAACCTATCATGTCAGAAATATCTCCCTTCCTTCAACATTCAAACCTTAACCCTAATCCTATAACCTTTAACCACCATCAGCTCCTTTCCTGACCACTCTAACCCGTCGCCCATCATCACCACCCAAGTAATTATTAGACAATCTTCACTGTATTAATTAAATTTTCTATTTATGTACTCAACAACAAAACATAACACAAAGAATAAATTCAAAAGAAAGATTTTTCAAAATCTGTTTAATTACAGAAACCAAACAGAAATTAGAAATAGAGTAGGAGAAAGGAAACAAAATAAGAAAAGGGAAATACTTATAAAAAATATTTTATGAGGATGATCAAGTCTAGTGTTTTACACTGTCTCCTTAAGACAGATTTGTCCTCTCTCGGGTACTAATAGATTATGGACGTTTATCTCCCAAGATGAAATGTGATGGGTCATTTCACACACCAAAAATAAATACTAAATTATACCAAATTCCTTAGAATAATGGTAAGTCCAGGTATCAATCCAAGGGACAAATGGGAAATTAAATTAATTTAATTTTTAGATTTCTAAATTAATTTTAATAAAAAGATTGAGGGAATCATAAATTAATAATAATTAAATTAAACAAAACGATTGAACTAGCAATTATAAATAAAATTGAAATTATTGATTTTTGGGAAAAACCTAGAGTAATGAGTCCACCACTAGTTAAATAAATAAGGCTTCAATTTGAGATTCAATTATGTTACGGTTCGAACTAAATAATACTTCGCAACTACAAGTTTGAAGCATTTAACAAGAAAATTAACAAATTCAATGTATAGGCACGAACCATCTCAAATAGTACGAGTCGTTCGTTCTAAACTAGGATAACAACACAACTTGTCCCTCGTAGTATGACTCGTCTTATACCTTAAACATGAAAGCACAAAAAACCATTGTATGGAAAGTATTCAATAATCACAGAAAGAAGAATACTTGAAGAGAATACTTGTACGAGCGTGAAATAATCTTCTCGTATAATCCTGTTGATCAAGTTTGCACTCCTCCAAGCAACGTTGTTTTGCTACCTGAAAACACAAACGTGAGCGAACCGGCGAGTGTGTGCTGGAAACCCCTCTGATGCCTAAGTCAGCAACTAGACAATAGACAATAAGCTCTGTGTATTCTAGAATAAGAATTGTGATACCTGTACATAGGTCCTGCTATGAGCTTTTATAGATTCTGCATGGCACAATCCTAGCAGGATTCCAACTCTCCTTATAAGAGTCCTCTTAGGAATCACACTCCCAGTGAAGAGTGTCTATCCTAATAACATTCTACTCACTACCAACCAAGTGAGATGGTTTACATAATCCTAGTAGGACTCTACTCTCCTTAGTAGAGTCCTCCTAGAAGTCTCAAGCCCAAGGATAATGCTTATCCTTAAAACACCCTCATCACTGCAAGCCAAGTGAGATGGTTGTACCCTTACCTCGGCTGACACTGCGGTCAACAAAGTTACTTCGGTTCCATGCTCAACATGAGCGAGCCATGATGACCCTGCCACCGGTTGGCATCCTGCCAAGCTACACCCAGTTCGGCCCATCGCCCTATTATCATCTCGGTCAGACCAAGGTTTGTCCCCAGATAGGTCCCAATTCCAGCAACACATCCAACCGTCCTGGTATCTACCTTGGCCCAAAGCCGAAATACAAAATATCTCCTCGGCCCATTGCACGGCCCAACTTTCAAAGAAGACTCGTCCTAGATCGGCCCAATTTGTTCACAAATTACCCTCTCAACTGAAAAATATATTTGAAACTTCTTAAATACAATACAATTTGTTCAAACCTTTACATAATCAAAAAGAAAAAAGAAAACCCTATTCACTTGGCTAGGGTTTTATCAAAACCCTAGAAATAGTAGCCTAGCCACTCATGGAGGAGTGAGAAGAGGTGGAGGAGGAAAAAGCCACCATGGGAGACAATCTTCAACCTTCAAGTTATTTTTCTCCAAACCTTAGCCTCTCTCTTCCTTTTCTCTAAAATATTTTCGAACACCTCTTCAGTCCCTTTTTTTTCTTTTTATTCATAGCAGAAGAGCCTTAAAATTTCATGCACACAACCCTAGGTGGGCCGCTCGAGCGGTGGTGGGCCACACGTGCAGTAGGGCTTAGCTACACTTGCAGTGAGGTGGCAGGCCAGGATTTTTCGCTCCTCGCAAGGAGAATTTGCTTTCGCGCCTTTTTTGATTGAATTTGCGTGTTACTAGCCAAATCTGTACAAGTGCATAAAACACATAAACTCCACCAAATAAACAATATTGAAAGACTAAAAATGTTGCTCAAGTGGTCTCAATGTGGTACCTTTCGGCTTACATCACATCCCCCAACTTACATTGTGCTAGTCTTCGAGTAAAACAAAAAAAAAAATAAGAAAAATGAAATAACTCTAAGCCACTTTCGTACGAATCACGATTGCATTTAGTATATGCAACAAGGCTTTCAATAACAAGGCTACCCCAAGTGGACGAGTATAGTCTCGTGAGGGCTTCCAGAAATGATACCCACAAATATCAACATATTCATATCTGCTCAACAACAATTAACCACGCTACTCCACCTAACAATCAACTTATGTGCACTACAGTGTGATACATGTTGAGTCATCAAAGGCACAGTGGACAAGCATGAAGGAATCTATTGAGCAAAAACCGCAATTTTGTATTACAAAAATTAAGCTCCATGTATTTGTGAATGCTAGTAGACACATTATCAGTACCCTCGGTGTAAAGTACAATTTCCATACTAGTTAATTGTCTACTATAACTGCCCAGTGTAACTCATAATAACACCCAACATATACAGAAAAACCAAACTTTTGCAACCAGGATTCTCAATTTTTTTTTGAAAGACTGTGCAATGTCCTGATCCATTAAGTTTTCGAATCAACCCATGTAACAAGCATTGAACCAATGACTCCCAAACCAAACGGTTTTAGAGCACTAGGTGTGAAGACATCCCTACGGCTTAATAACTCGAGTTGAAAAGGTTATAAACCTGAACAAGTCTTTATCTTTTATTATTATTATTTTTATTTTTATTTTTGTTTTTATTTTTCTTAATTGTGCAATGTCTAGGTCCCTTAAACTTTCTAATTAACCCATGTAGCAAGTATTGAGCCAATGGCTCCCAAACCAAACGGTTTTAGGGCACTAGGTGTAGAGACATCCCTACGGGCCTAATAACTCGAGTTAAAGAAGCTACGAACCCAAACAAGTCAAGTTTATTTATTTATTTATTTTTTAATAAGAATCAAGGCTACTCATTTATTCTTTTCTGCAACACTAGCAATTATCAATGATGTACACCAGGGATTAGAATAGAGAGATCACTGCTATGAAAGTGTGTTCATGTGAATCAAGACATACTCATGACAAGTGTACTAATACCACAAATACAAACAACTCTCCTAGTGCAAACATCACATACGAGTATCTACCCAATAAACCCTTTTCATATAATTCCACTATGTTCTCCAATTAACATATGCTCATATCACTACCATAGTGGCACAAAGTGCACATCAAGTGAAGTGGTGCAATCAAGTGCAACAAGTAAACCATGAATTGTTTTTATACAAACCCTCACCCCCCAAGTGGAATACAACATTGTCCTTAATGTAAGCAAGTGAAAAGTAGATAGTAAAATAAGAGAGAAAAGATCTTACCAGACGGCGTAGGCACACATGCAGCGAGGCAAGGACCCGCCAAACACACACACTTTTTTTTTTTGACTGTACAGTATAAAAGAAAAAGAAAAAGAAAAAGAAAAGGAAAATAAAACAAAACAAAAATAAATAAAGAAATAAAACAAAGAA